GTATGTGTCCAGAAATTTATTCATTTTTTTTTCTAGATTTTCTAGTTTATGTGCAGAGAGGTATTATAGTATTCTCTGATGGTTGCTTGTATTTCTGTGAGGTCAGTGGTGAGATCCCCCTTATCATTTCTGATTGTGTTGGATTCTTCTCTCTTTTCTTCTTTATTAGTTTAGCTAGCAGTCTATTAAATTTTTTTTCAAAAAACCACCTCCCGGATTTGTTAATTTTTGAAAGGTTTTTTGTGTCTCTGTCTCCTTCAGTTCTGCTCTGATCTTATTTCCTGTATTCTGCTAACTTTGGGGTTTGTTTTTGGTTCTCTATTTTAGTTGTGATGTTAGGTTGTTAACGAGATCTTTTTAGCATTTTGATGTTGGTATTTAGTGCTATTAATTTCCGTCTTAACACTTCTTTAGCTGCATCCCAGAGATTCTGATACATGTGTCTTTATTCTCATTAGTTGCAAATAATTTCTTGATGTATGCCTTAATTTCAGTATTTACCCAGGAGTCATTGAGAAGCAGGTTATTCAATTTCCACATAGTTGTGTGGTTCTGAGTTAATTTAATTTTTATTTTAATTTTTGGGGGTGAACTTTTAATCTTGAGTTCAATGTGATCGTGCTATGGTCTGAGAGACTGTTATGATTTCAGTTCTTTTGCACTTGCTGAGAAGTGTTTACTTCCGATTATGTGATCAATTTTTAAGTGCCATGTGGCAATGAGAAAAATGTATATTCTGTTGTTTTGGAGTGGAGAGTTCTGCAGATATCTATCAGGTCTGCTCAATCCAGAGCTGAGTTAAGGTCCTCAATATCTTTGTTAATTTTCTATCTCAATGATCTAATATTGTCAGTGGAGTATTAAAGTCTCCCACTATTACCCCGTGGGAGTCTAAGTCTCTTTGTAGGCCTCTAAGAACTTACTTTATGAATCTGGGTCCTCTGCTATTGGGTGGGTATATATATTTAGAATAGTTAGCTCTTCTTGTTGAACCCTTTGCCATTATGTAATGCCTTGCTTTATTTATTTATTTATTTATTTTTACCTTTGTTGGTTTATAGTTTGTTTTGTCAAAAATTAGGATTGTGACTCCTGCTTTTTTCTGATTTCCATTTTCTTCATAAATTTTCCTCCATCCCTTTATTTTGAGCCTATGTGTGTCTTTGCACATGTGATGGGTCTCTTGAAGACAGCATATCGATCGGTCTTGGCTCTTTATCCAGCTTGCACTTCTGTGTCTTTCAATTGGGGCATTTAGCCTATTTACATTTGATATTAGTATTATTACATAGGAATGTGATCCTGCCATCATGATGCTAGCTGGTTATTTTGCAGACTTGTTTATGTGGTTGCTTTATAGTGTCATTGGTTCTGTGTACTTCAGTGTGTTTTCGTAGTGGCTGGTAATTTTTTTTTTCTTTCCATATTTAGTGCTTCCTTCAGGAACTCTTGCAAGGCAGGCCTGGTGGTGATGAATTCTCTCAGCATTTGCTTGTCTGAAAAGGATCTTATTTCTTTGCACATAAAGCTTACTTTGGCCAGATATTAAATTCTGGCTAAGAATTCTTTAAGAATGCTGAATATTGACCCCCAATATCTTCTGGCTTGTAGGGTTTCCACTGAGAGGTCTGCTGTTAGTCTGATGGGCTTCCCTTTTTAGGTGACCTGATCTTTCATTCTCTCTGACTGCCCTTTACATTTTTTCTTTAATTTTGACCTTGGAGAATCTGATGATTATGTGTCTTGGGGTTGATCTTCTCATGGAGTATCTTACTGGGGTTCTCTGCATTTCCTGAATTTGAATGTTGGCCTGTCATGCTAGGTTTGGAAAGTTCTCCTGGATAACATCCTAAAGTATGTTTCCAACTTGTTTCCATTATCCCCATCTCTTTCAGGTTCCCCAGTCAGTCAGGGGTTTGGTCTTTTTACATAACTCCGTATTATTTTTTTGGAGGTTTTGTTCATTACTCTTCATTCTTTCTCTATTCTTCTCTGCCTGTCTATGTCAGAAAGATAGTCTTTAAGCTCTGAGTCTCTTTCCTCTTCTTGGTCTATTCTACTATTGATACTTGTGATTGCATTGTTAAGTTCTTGTGTTGTTTTTGGCTCCATCAGGTCAGTTATGTTCCTCTCTAAACTGGCTATTCTGGTCTTCAGCTCTTGTATTGTTTTATCATTGATTCTTGGCTTCTTTGCATTGGGTTATGACATGCTCCTTTAGCTCAGCAAAGTTCATTATTACCCACGTTCTGAAGCCTACTTCTGTCAATTCAGTCATCTCAGCCTCACCCAGTTCTGTGCCTTTGCTGGAGAGGTGCTGCGGTCATTTGGAGAAGAGGCATTCTGGCTTTTTGAGTTTTCAGCATTTTTTGGTGTTGATTTCATCATCTTTGTGGGCTTATCTACCTTCAATCTTTGAGGTTGGTGACCTTTGAATGGGGTTTTTGTGCGGTCTTTTTGTTGATATTCTTGTTGTTGTTTTCTGCCTGTTTTAACAGTCAAGCCACTGACTGTTAGCAACTGTAGGGCTGCCACAGTTTGCTAGGGTCTGCTCAAGACCCTAGTTGCCTCGGTTTTTCCTGTGCCTTGAGGTATCACCAGTGAAAGCTGCAAAACAGCAAAGATGGCAGCCTTCTCCTTCCTTTGGAAGCTCTGTCCCAGGGCGGTACTGACCTGTTGCTGGCCTGAAGATTCCTGTAAGAGGTGTCTAGAGACTCCTGTTGGGAGGTCTCACCCAGTCAGGAGGAACAGGATCAGGGACCTACTTACAGAAGCAGTCTGGCTGCTTTTGGTACAGCAGGTGTGCTGTGCTGGGGGAGGACCCTTCCTCATCCAGATTGCCCGAACTCTCCAAAGCGAGCAGGCTGGAACAGCTTTGTCAACTGAACCATAGAGACAGTGGTTGCCTTTCCCCTGGGAGCTCCATCCCAGACAGAGTTTAGATTTCTGTCAGTATAAGCCTGGCTGAAGTGACTGAAAGCCCCCCCAAAGGGAGGCACCATATAGTGGGGAGGAATGGGTCAGGGTCCTACTTAAAGAACCAGTCTGGGCCAGGTGCAGTGGCTCATGCCTGTAATCCTAGCACTTTGGGAGGCCGAGGCAGGCGGATCACCTGAGGTCAGAAGTTCAAGACCAGCCTGGTCAACACGGTGAAACCCTGTCTCTATGAAAAACGCAAAAATTAGCGAGGTGTGGTGGTACCTGACTGTAATCCCAGCTACTTGGGAGGCTGAGGCAAGAGAATTGCTTGAACCCAACAGGTGGAGGTTGCCAAGAGCCAAGAGCATGCCACTGCACTCCAGTCTGAGCAACGGAGTGATATTCTAGCTAAAAAAAAAAAAAAAAAAAAGCAGCAGTCTGGGCATGATCTGGCAAAGCACGTGTGCTGTGTTGGGCAGGGGGATCCTCTCCTTGTCCAGACAACCTGGTCTCTCCAGAGCTGGCAGGCTGGAACACTGAGTCGACTGAACCACAGAAATGGTGGCCAGTCTTCCCCTCAGGAGCTCCCTCCTATTTCAGGCCGAAGCCTGTTGCTGTTGGTTGGTTGGAATTCCAAGTCAGTGGGTTTTGTGAGGTGCCATGGAAGTGGGGCCCACAGAATGTTGCTGCCTGACTCCCTGGATTCAGCCCCCTTCCTACAGGAGTATAAGGATGAATCTGCCATCTTGCCAGGAATTCTGGGGCTGGAGCATGTAAACCTCCTGGGTCTCTGTATGGCTGAGAGGCTGCTCTGCCAAAACTCCACACAGCTCTGTGTATTGAACCCAAGGCCCTGGTGGCATGGACTCACAAGGACATATCCTGACCCGTGGGTTGCAAGGATCTTTGAGTAACATGGTTTCCTGGGCAGGGTCACACAATCACTCACCGCTTCCCTTGGGTGGGGTGAGGGTTCCTTTGGCTCCACGCCACACCAGGTAGGCCATCACTTCACCTTGCTTTTCTTCATTCTCTGTGGGCTGAATTGATTGCCTAGTCAGTCCCAGTGAGGTAATCTAGATATTTCAGTTGAAGGTACTGAATTCACTTGTTATTTTCATTCCTCTCTATGAGTACCATGAACCACAGCTGCCTCTAATTGGCCATCTTGGTCCATCCCAGGTTTCCTCTTTTAGATACAATTTTGAAATATGTTTTCTCCTTTTGATCCTTTAATATCATGCCTCTGACATTTCTAAGATATGAAGCCGAGCTAAAGCTCTTTCTACATCTCTTACATGTACCAAACACACATACAAAGTTCCAATCAGTGTTAAGGTTGTGAAGATTCTGCAGCAAAGATACATACAGTTTACATTCTAGCTGACATCAATTTTGACATGTCCATCATTAGAGATTTGTAAATGCCAGAACAAACTCCTAATCTTTCTAAGGCCTGTCTCTTGAATAACTATAATTGCCAAACTTCTGAATGACGCCCCAACTTACAAAAGTTCTGTGCTACAGTGGTTCTAAAACCACATGGGTATGCTGAACTATGGCTGAAACACTGACTTTAACTATTTTCCCTCCTGAGACTGTATGAAATGTATCATCAGCATGGATTATGTAATAAGCTATGAGATACGAACTCAAACTGAAGTGCTTACCACATGTATCAAATTTTTAATGTTTCTCCCATTGTTAACTCTCAGATGAGCTTGTAGTTGAGAAGACTATCACAGACATTGCATTACTAAGGTTTCTCTTGAAAGTGAACACTCATGAAGCTGAAGACTTTGAGGCATAACTGAAGCCCATGGCAATCTCCCCAAACTTCCATGCCTTCTCTACAATCTGGACCCTCTGATGCATATCAAGTCAAGTGCCTGTGGTAGTACATCCCATACTCCTCATATTTGTATGGATTATCTCCACCGTGGACTTTTTTCTTGGTCTTTAAGATAGGATCTATGTTCAAAGCTCTTTCCATAGTTCTCACGTTTGAATGGTTATTCTCTGCTGTGGAAAATCGATGGGTCAGATGAGTTGAGGCCCAGCCAAAGCCCTTCCCACACTTCTCACATCTGTACGGCTTTTTTTCCACATAGACCTTCTGATGTAAATGGTGCTGTGAATTCTGAGATCTCTTCCCACACTCCACATTTCAATTGCTTTTCTCCACTGTGGAGTCTCTGATGTTTCAAAAGACATGAAGCCCAGCCAAAGCTCTTTCCACATTCCTTACAATTATAGGGTCGCTCTCCCCTGTGGACCCTCTGGTGCATGTCAAGATTAAATTTACTGTTGTACCCCTTCTCACACTGCTCACATTTGTATAGCTTTTCTCCAGTATGGCATGTCTGATGGGAATGAAGTTGTGAACTCTGAGTAAATCTCTTTCCACACTCTTCACATTTGAAAGGTTTTTCTCCACTGTGGAGTCTCCGATGTTTCAAAAGACAGGAGGCCCAGCCAAAGCTCTTCCCACATTCCTTACAATTGTAGGGTCTCTCACCCGTGTGGACCCTCTGGTGAAACTCAAGATCCAACCTCCTTTTATAGCCCTTACCACACTCCTCACACTTATATGGCTTTTCTCCATTGTGGGATCTCTGATGGGAAGATCGTTGTGAATTTGTATAAAATCCCTTCCCACATTCTTCACATTTGAAGGGTTTTTGTCCACTGTGGACTCGCTGATGGTTCAAAAGACATGAGGACCATCTGAAGGTCTTCCCACATTCTTTACAATTATATGGTTTCTCTCCTGTGTGGACCATCTGATGCTTACAAAAATCTCGCCTACAAATGAAGCCTTTTCCACACTGCTCACATTTGTATGGCTTCTCTCCTATGTGGACCATGGAATGACTATTAAGTGCTGATCTCTGACGAAAGTTCTTGCCACATATATCACATCTGAATGGTTTTTCTCCTGTGTGAACCATGGAATGCCTATTCAGTCTTGATCTAACACGGAAGCTCTTACCACATACATCACATTTGAATGGCTTCTCCCCAGTATGGATTCTCTGATGTTCCTGAAGCTGTGAATCGTGAATGAAGGCTTTCCCACATTCCTCACAATTATAAGGCTTCTCTCCTGTGTGTAACTTGCAATGAACATTAAGTGCTGATCTACTATGGAAGCCTTTCCCACACTGCTCACATTTGAATGGTTTCTCTCCAGTATGGACCCTCTGATGAGTTTGAAGATGTGAGCTCTGATTAAATTCCTTACCACACACATCACACTTATAGTGTTTTTCTCCCATATGGACTCTCTGATGAGTACGAAGGGCTGAGATGTAACAGAAGCTTTTTCCACACTCATCACATGTATGAGACTTCTCTCCTGAGTGTAATTGTTGATGAAGATCAAAGACAGAAACATCACCGAAGGACTGTTTACATTCATTACACTGGTAAGATTTCTGTTGCACATGACTTATAGATAGTCCTGCCTCAATCTGGCAGAGGACGTCACCTTCTATGAGTAACTCAGAGCTGTTCCTTGTGGAGTCTTGAGACCTGGTTAGGTCACTTGCAATTTGTTTCCATATTTGCTGACAGGACCACTCTTCATGTGGTCCTGCTTCTGGAACAGTCTCCATCTCAATTTGGATCTTCCCTCCTAAAAAGACACAGAATTAATATATGTGGGCAAGTGAAGCCCTGTTCAATGTTTTCAAGATTTCACACTTAGGACATGGCATTAAACTTTAATGAATACAGGAAACATTAAGTTCATGTTTTCTGAGTGCACTATGGTCTTTGGTTTTCAAGAGACGAATTTAGAACCACATCACATCTCATACATAAAATCCTTGGTAGAAATAAAATACTGAATTAAATAATTAATAACATACACATATTTAACCTGTTACTAATTCTGGTAAATTTCCCAGTCTAAAATCTTGCATAATAAACTATGGAACTAATAAAATATGAACATGAATAATGAACCCAAAGGAACTTTAAAGAAGAAAGACAGTTGCAATAATTCAGGAAAGCAGTTTGGGAATTTAGACCAGGGTGATGGAAATAGGCATGGACAGAAGTAAAACAGATGGAAGAGTCATGTACAAGGATGCACAGTTGCTTGGTTCTGACCTGAATTCCCTCCTCTTTGGCTTGTTGTCTTCATAATCCGCAACTTCTCCTTCCTTAAGAAGTGGAAAGTATCTTGGTGGAATGGTTGATTCCCTGTGAACATGCAGTGACATGCTTAATTCCAATCCATTGTAGGTAATATCTAGGGAAAATTTACTGGAAACTTAGATTCCCAATGCATACTCAAACTTGGAATACAAAGTCACTCCTGGGGCCTAACATTCTGTTACAGAGGGTGTCTGTCCTCACCTACTGAGAGCAGGTTCCTAAAGTTCTCTAGCATCACGTCTCGGTACAGCTTCCTCTGGGCAGGGTCCAGGAGCCCCAGCTCATCCTCAGTGAAGACCACGGCCACATCTTTGAAGGTCACTGCCTCCTAAAATATCCAACATACAAAACCTAAATCTTATGACCAACGATTATTCAAAGAAGGGTGGCACTAAGTAGGCAAAGGGGACAGGTGTGGTAAGTTGTCCTAGATCTTGAGGGATGTAGGTCAACATACAGATTTCCCACTCATTCTGCCTATATCCTGACAATGACACACACTGATTTTCATGAGATCCATCAGAAGTGCAATGATATAAAAGAAGTCCTGTACTTTTACTTTGTGCACTCATTGAGTCTACTTGTAACCAGCCCTCTAGGACTCCAAATGCTGCCTCCTGGGCTTCAGGTATTTAGGTTTTAGTGAGTTGCCAATTGCCCCAGTAACATTTAGCAATTTAGTCCCAACTTTGATAACGTCCATTGTCTTCCTCTCTTGTGTTGTCTTCCTTTCATCCTCAAACTGTAGATGCTGTAACTTTTCTTTAATATCTGTCAAACTAACAAGTTTATGGTGACCTGTGTGGGACAGCTATACAGTGCATCCTTTATACTCTCAAGGCATAAACTACATACATTAGTTGCAGCATTCAGTGTCATGATATGGAACCATCATGCCCCGAGCACATCCCAAAGCTCTGTCCCTTCCTAGACATGTGGCTTTGGACAAGCTCACCTACATGCATTAGTTTCCTGTCTGTATAATGATTTTCACCTGGTATAGTTTTCTCAAGGATTAAAGAAGGAAATATATATAGCATTGGGAAAACTGTGTGGCAAAGACTAAGTATTTAATAAATATTATCTATTTTTATTATTTTTAATTATAACTGTCATTATTGTTATTTATTTCATCTTGTTTCATATCTGCATAGTATTCCAGGGCAAAAATTATCTCTTTTTATTTAAATAATGAATACTTCATATTAAACATTTTTCATTATCAATCCTGTAAAGAAAATAATTTTATATACTCTTTATTCTCCTGATTTAAAATGTCAAATGAAAATTAGAATGTCAATAAACACATTTAAAATTTGATCACATAATTTCATACTTTCTTCCAAATTTTTTTACCTACTTCCCACTCTTTCCAGTGAACACAAGTACCCTTAATCTCCTTATAATGGTTCGGAGCAGGTTGTAAATATTCCCATGGTTTTGGTAATCTGATTAGGAAGAAGAATTCATTGTATTAATATCATTCTCACTTATTTGATTATAAATGAGCAGAATGGCTAACATTCCTGACCTTGGTTGCCTGTGTGAATCTGAGCAGATTTCTCATATTTGATGAGTTTAAGAGGAACAAGAGACCAAAACCTGCATTCTGCTTCTCTGAATAAATATAGTAACAGAACACAGTGACTGGCCAATCTTCCAGTATCATTGGACATTTGAAGTGAAGGTACCTACTACTTTGATAAAACTGCTTACTCCATAAAGGAATAAGAAGAGACCAATAAATAACATGCATACAAGGTATGATTGAGGTATGGCAAACACAGAATCTAGCCCTTCCTGTGTGAAAGCTCCAATAACAATATTTGTGGGAAGTGGCAGTCACAGCCTGATGTGCTGTGCCCTGTTGAAATAATCTATCATCTATAAAACAGCCAGTGTGATACATGTCAAAAGTATCCTATCTTGTTTTCAGAATTAATTTTGGGGGGAAGGGGTTATATATAGGAAAGCTGTCACAGCAGTATTGCTTAAAACAGTAAAATTCCGAAACCACCTAAATGTCTATGAGTGTGAGGTAGTTAAAAACAAGAAGGTACATTAATTCAGTGGGGCTATGATGCCAATGTAAAAATGGAACATTATATAATATTATGTAAAATGAGCACAATTTAAAATTAGAAGTATGTCATCAATACAAATACAGTTAAGAATGTACATGATGAAGAATATAAGATAACAACTAATTTGTGATCAGAGAAGTGAAGTGAAAGAATTATCCATTCCTACTATTTTCTCTACTGCGGAAAAGAAATTATATAAGAAAACAAGAACTAAAACCAAATGGAAAGTCAACTCAAAAGCAACAAAGGAAGCATCTGGCAAACAAAATGCCCTCAAATCCTTGTTGTTCTCTTTGAGTCTTCCCAAGACAGATAAAAATGTGACAATATGAGTAGTAAGATGGAATTTTAACAGCAAGAGAGGCAAGCCCTACTCACTTTGAATGTGGTCATTTTTCCTTCTACTTCAGGGAATTTGCAGAGTCCTGAATGAAGCAGTTCAAATGAAGGTGAAATCGTGCCTAGAAAGTGCCAGGAAAGGCAGAAAAACAGACATGAAAGGGTGACTAGGAATGCTGCCCACCAACACAGACAAGTATTTTCAATTAGCGCATGAATGTTCGCAGCAGCATTACTCATATCCCCAAATTGCAAATAAGCAAAATGCCCTCCTATAGGTAAATGAATAGACAAATCATGGCATATCAATACAAACAGAATTTTATTTGGAAATTCAAAGGAGTGAAGAACTGGCTCATGCTACAACATGCACGAACCTTGGAAACACTATGCTAAGTTAAAGAAGCCAGTCACAAAACCCCTTGGATTATAAAATTCAATTTTATAAAATATACAGAATAGGCAAATGTATATATAGAGAAAGGTTAGTGGTTGCTCCAGATTTGAGGTGAGAATGAGGTTTAACTGTACATAAGCATAAGGAGTCCAACTGGGGGGCAAAAATGATCTAAACAGAATTGTGATGATAGTTACACCACTCTTCAACGTTCCTGAAGATTATTAAATTGTAAGCCTGAAATGGGTAAATTCTATGATATGTAAAATACACCTCAATAAAGTCGGAAATAATAATGGTTAATCTACATGTTATTTAACTGGATTCTGAGTCCGTATCGATAGAATATTTATAGTTGAAAAAACTGATGAATAAATTGGGGAGAAGTGGAAGCTAATCTTTACAGGAGAATGCCCACTAATAATGTATCTCCCATAAGAAACATTTCTATTTTCAAAATTTAATTAAAAAGCAACCTTTCAGTGGAAAAATCTGAAAGACATCGTCTTGGCCAAGTGAACAAAGTTGAGACCTCCAATGAAGGGAAAACAGATATCATGTGGCCCCTGTTATGACACCTCAACACTTCTGTGGTATCCACACCAACAATGCATAATCTGAACCCAAACATGAAATACATAAATCCCAAATGAGTATCTTTCTATAAAATACTTTGCCTATATACTTCAAGGATGTCAAGAATAAAAAGACAAAGGTTGTTGAATCTTTCTAGATTAAAGAAGATTACAGAAATGTGACACCTAAAAGCAGTACATAAAATTGGACTTTGGATTGGGGGATGGGGGAAAACAGTTATAAGAACTTTAAAAAGCACAACAAATTTAAATATGGGACTTTGGATAGAAAAGATGATGGTGTCTAGCCATACCTAATAGGTAACAGAATTAACTAATATTGGTAGTCTTTTAATTGATATCTAGTATTTAATAGTGATATTATTTAATATTATATCTAATATTACCTAGCATGTTATATGAAACTCTATAGCCTGCCCTTCCTAAATGCCTCTTACCAAGACACCCCATGATCACCTTGGCATATGGGCTTCCTTGCTGCAGAAAGCTACAATAAGTTGTTTCTCATTATAAGTTTGTTCCCAGTGGTATTTGGCTGATGGGTGTTAACAAAGCAAAATACAAAAAGTAAGTAATTGGAAAATTTGGGTAAAGAGCATATGAACAGTCAGGTGCTGTGGCTTAAGCCTGTAATCCCAGCTACTTGGGAGGCTGAGGCAGGAGGATAGCTTGAGTCTAGGAGTTAAAGGCTGCAGTGAGTTAGGATTGTGCTACTGTACTCTAGCCAAGGCTCTTAAAGCTCCACCATAATCGTTGACTCCATGTCCCACATCCTGGTAGAAGGGATAGACTCCCAAAGCCTTGGGCAGCCAAGTGACATGACTGAGCAGTGGTTTCAGGACCACTTCTCAGAGGGCAGTGGTTCCCTTCCCACAGATCCATTAGGCAGTGCCCTAGTGGGGACTCTGTGGGGAGCTCACATTTCTCCTTGGCACTACCCTGGTAGAGGTTCTCTGTGGGGGCTCCACCCCTGTGGCAGGCTTCTGACTAGGATCTCAGGCTTTCTCATACATCCTCTGAAATCTAGGTAGAAGCTGCCAAGCCTCCTTCACGCTTGCATTCTGAGCATCTGCAGCCTTAACACAATGTGGAAACCACCACAACCATCAAGGCTTAAATCTTCTGGAGCTGCAACCCAAGCTGTGCCTGGGGCACTCTGAGCTGAGGCTGGAGACAGAGTGGCCGGATTCAGGGCACAGTGTCTTGAGGCTGCTCAGTGCAGTGGGGCCCTGGCCTGACCCTTGGAACCATTCTTTTCTCCTAGGCCTCTGGACCTGTAATAGGAGGGACTTACCTGAAGACTTCTGAAATGTCTTCCAGGCATTTCCCCCATTATCTTACATATTACCACTTGGCTTTCTGTTAGTCACGCAAATCTCTTTTGCAAGTGGTTGCTCCACAGCCCACATGTATCACTCTTCTAAAAATGCTTTTTCTTTCTCTACCAAATGGCCAGGTTGTAAATTTTCCAAACTTTTATACTCTGCTTACCTTTTAAATATAAATTCTAACTTTAAGTCATTTCTTTGCTTCTATATATAACTGTAGGCTGTTTGAAGCAGTGAAGCAGCCAGGCCACTTCTTGAATGCTTTGCTGCTCAGAAATTTCTTTTGCCAGGTACCCTAAGTTATCACTCTTAAGTTCAAGCTTCCAGAAATCTGTAGGGCATGAACACAAAGCAGCAAAGTTCTTTGCTAGGGCATAACATGGGTGACCTCTACCCCAGTTACCAATCACTTCCTCATTTCCATCTGAGATCTCATCAGCCTGGACTTCATTGTCCATATCCCTACCAGCATTTTGATCACAACCACTTGATCAGTCTGAAAGAAGTTCCCATGGCTCAGTGAAAAAGTTAAAAAAATAAAAAAAATAAAAAAATAAAAGTTCCAAGCTTTCCCTCATCTTCTCATCTTCTTCTGAGCCCTCCAAACTTTTTCCAACCTCTGCCCATTAGCCAGTTCCAGAGCCACTTTCACATTTTCAGGTATCTTTATAGCAATGCACTGCACCTCAGTACCAATTTTCTGTATGAGTTCATTTCTGTGTCACTGTAACAAAATACCTGAGGCTGGGTAATTTATAAAGAAAAGAGGTTTAATTGGCTCACATTTCTTCAGGCTGGAAAAGAAGTGTGGTGCTGGCATGTGCTCAGCTTCTGGTGAGGCCTCGGCGAGCTTTTACTCATGGGAGAAGGTGAAGCAGGAGCAGGCATGTCACAAAGTGAGAGCAGGAACAAGAGAGAGAAATTGGAGGACCCAGATCTCACATGAACTAACTGAGAAGGAACTCACTCATCACCAAGGGGATAGCACCAAACCATTTATGACGGACCTGCCACCATGATTCAACACCTCCCCCTAGACCCCACCTCCAACACTGGAGATATGGAGGGACCAAACATCCAAACTATATAAAATGTAATTAAAAGAGAGAACTGGGTTGGATTCTGATGCTTGACCAAGCTCGAATTTTAGTGAATCTAAGCTTTAGCCACTTGCCTCAAAGCTGTCCCTAAGGGAAAAATTATGCCAGGACAACAGTAAGTACCTCTAAGACCTGTGGTTACCAAAAGTCAATCAATGTGTGGGAAGGGTAAAACCAAGAAACTGAAACTACAGTGTACAGTGTGAAAGAATTGTTTATTTTGTAGTTTCCTAAGGAACCTTTATTCAACTAGATTGTGAGAGAAACTAAGTAGTAGCATCTTTGGTTTTAAATGTTGCAGAGTTGAAGAGCATGTTTGGGTTTATGTAGGACCCACAGTTCACTATGAAACAATTACAGATGGTGATACGTGATGCAACAATTACAAATGGTGAAATCTGATGCAAACACACAGGAGATGTGGAAAAAAAAAAAAGAAAACCAATAGTCTTATCTATTTGGGGCTTCTAAAAGTTGGTAGGCCCCAAGGAAACTGAGTCACTGAGCTTAACCTCTTAACTTCCTTTTTTATTTTCTTGTTCCTGGCTCAGACCAGATAGCATCTAAGATAAAAGATTCTTTGTCTGAGATAAAAGACCCCTTTGACTATTACATCCCTAATGCAGAATGTTAAATCCGTTCTTCCCAATAAAAGGAAACACTGCTATCGAATTATTGTTAACTATGCATTAATCTTGTATAGAAAATGCTGACATCCTGTTAAGCTTCCTAGACCCTGCCTACATAATGACTCTCAAACCCTTCCACTTCAGAGCATTTATCCAATCTTTTGAAGTCCGTGTCCTCCCAGGTGGACATCTTCAAATTTTGTGTTTGAAAAAACTCAATATTTAACCACATTGCCTGAATCTCATTCCCAATGTTAACAGGTTGTTCCCAAGGGAAGAGCCAGCCTGATCAACTGGATAAAAGGCATGGTAAGGTCTGCTTGCCCTGAAAAGGGGGACTGCTCAACTCACCCTATAAATGCTGGGTGGGATACCCCAGATGATGCAGCCGATACACTGCATGCAAGCCATGTGGGACTGAATATATGATGACTGGGATATTCATCTTCTGAATATGCTTCTTACCCAGGTCATGGTAAATGCTGTGGCTAAGGGGGCCCCTTTTGCATGGGTACCCCATGTGACTTTTGTAAAAAGAAAATCCAAATTGGAGATGGTTATGTCAGAAGTTTATAAAAAGAGGCATGTGGAGTTGGACCCCAGCTATGTACACACCCAGATGGATTTTAACGTAACTGGGTCAAATTGTAAAACCAGCTGCATTTGATTGGAATTGTTTATACATGGCCTGATCATGAACCTCTTGGGGAAACAGCTATGCTGAACTAGATTGATCATCAACGAAAGACATCCTAAGTTGCTAACCAACTGACATGAATCATGGACTATACTAAGACCTTCCAGATATATAAACTTACGGTAAACATTTATAAGCCTCTGCCCAACCTTGCCTGGATAGAACAGGAAATGATTTAGCTGACTGCTAGATCTGTACTTCTTGATTGCAATTCATAAGACCCCACTTAAAATATCTTTTCTTTTGTTTGTGGCTCAGTGTTGATTTTATTTATTGGTTGACACCTTAACTCTTGCAAAATTGAACAACAGTCCTAGAAGCCTTATCAGTTTTGCTGTCTCAGTTTCCCTTTAAGGATATTAAAGATGTTAATAAGAAGATTACATTAATTAGCAAGAGGAAAAAGACAGAGGGCAGAGTCAAAGGACTCATCCCAGAAAGCTAGAGATTTTTTAAAGGTCATTTAGAAACAATGATAAAGGTGAAACTAAGAAGAAAGAGAGAGTGTCATGGGACTCCTTCCAACAGGGTGAAAATCTTCAGATCATTATGTTAAATTAAGTTTAGCCTAAAGCTGCTTTCTTACATACTTTAAATTAGGTATAAAGGTTTCTCCAGGCAGGGTGTGGTGGCTCATGCCTGTAATGCCAGCACTTTGGGAGGCCGAGGTGGGTGGATCACCTGAGGTCAGGAGTTCGAGACCAGCCTGGCCAACATGGTGAAACCCCGTCTCTACTAAAAATTAGCCAGATGTGGTAGTGTGTGCCTGTAATCCCAGCTACTCGGAAGGCCGAGGCAGGAGAAACACTTAAACCCAGGAGGTAGAGGTTGCAGTGAGCCAAAATCGCTCCACGGCACTCTAGCCTGGGCGACAGAGCAGGGCTCCATCTCAAAAAAATAAAAAACAAAAATAAAAATTAAAAAAGATTTATCCATATATAGTGAACTGTAACCTAACTGGAAGAGTAAACAGACTGTAACCTACTCTTGTGCCAATCACTAAGTTTTGACCAATCAAATGGAGGCAACTGTTCAAACAGGGATCAAATAAGGCAAAAGCTGAGCTGCAACCAAATTGGCTGTTTCTGTTTCTCACTTCCACTTTTTGAATGTCACTTTCCTTTTTCTGTTTACAAATCTTCTTCAACCACACCGTAGCACTGAAGCTTCTCTGAATCTATTCTGGTTCAGGGGCTGCCTGATTTGCAAATTGTTTTTTGCTCAATTAAACTCTTTGATTTATCTAAGATTTTTTACTTTTAACAGTTTTATTAAGAAATGGAATAAATAAAATGGAAATTGATAAGGCTAAAACAAAGGTCTGAACACAGTAATACTGAAGGTTTGGTGGACCAAAGGGATCCTCTGCTGATCCCCCAATATTAAAGGGTTTCAAATAAGTTTGCTGTATTTACTCCAGTTTGGAAAAATTTTAAAACTCGTCTTTACTAACAGACGGGGTGGTGTGCGCCTATAGTTCCAGCTACTTGGGAGACTAAGGGAGGAAAATCACTTGAACTTGGGAGGCAGAGGTTGTAGTGAGCCAAGGTCGTGCCACTGCACTCCATCCTGGGCGACGAGAGTAAGACTCTGTCTCAAAAAATTTAAAAATGAATTAAATAAATAAATAAATAAAAATAAGCTTAATGGTTATTATCTTTATAGCCTGCATTCAGAGGTAATTAAACATTTTTTCTTGTCATATTTCTGTAATTTCTAAATGCTCCATAATATGGTTCTAGAAAAATACAAAATATGTGTAATAAGTGAAACAAAATAGTTGATAAAGTTTTAAAAGACTCCTAGAGAAGTCCAAGTCCATGAGCCTTGCTCTCAAAGTCCCTTCAATCAAGTCCTAACTTGCTTTCCCCACCTGATTCCAGCTAGTTCCTCTGCCTCAGTGAGAATGTATCCAAGAAATTATCAGCTTGGGCCCTGACCTGGACTGCAAAGGTTCCAACCCCAGCTCCACTTCTTATTACTTGGGCAACTATGGGCAAGTAAGTCCTGCTCCCTTTGTCTCACTCTTATCTTTAATAGACGAAATGGCAGTACCTTTCCACAGAGCTACCATGTGGTGTACATGAATTTCTCTGTATAAAGCCCTTAGAATTGAAGACAGCAATTAAGACTTTCTTATCAATGCCCATGCCCGATTACAGTATCCTACAATAGATGTGAACGTCACTGTAAAAGAAAAATGATAAGCCACACTCGCGTGGAACTTTGTTGTCAGTAGTCAAGGAATTACTCCATCTACCTCCAAGCAATCCTTTTAGAGAAGTCAGGAAGAGGAAACAATGCTGCGAAATATCATGGTTGTGTCACCATTCTTGACAAAACAGTCAAGATCCTCCCATCCTTCTGTGGAAATTGGAGATACCCATTCTTTTCCTAAATAAGAGGTCAGAGAATATCCAGAATTTTCCAGCGTTCTGCAGGGATCAGAGAGAAGAGCCAGCTGGAGCTCTGACACCACCCCAGGGACCTGACCATTTCTCAGGAAATTAACAAGAGATCGCCATTCACTATAACAGAAACTGTTTTAAGGCTCTTATATTACCTCTTTCAATTTCCAAGACAATTCTATTAGGAAGGTCTTAATATCCCCCATTTAAAGAAAAGCAAAGAGGCCCAGGGAGATTAAGTAACACCCCAACGTTGTACCGGGAGAATCGGCCCCGCACCAGTAGTGGAGGGAGGCGGATGGGGCGAGCTGAGAGCCCAAGAAACCCCTAAATAAGGCGAAACGTGACAGGACCGAGTCCCAAACTCCCCCAGGACGCTAGGACAGCCCTAAACGCAAGAAGCCTCTGCCGCGGGAACCGCAAACCGCCGCCCTCACCCTTCCAAACCTTTGCTTTCCGACGGCGCTTCCTTTCCTCTAAATCTATCGCTAGCTCGTTGAGGGTTCCGCGAGTAGGTCCAGGAAATTCAGTAGGGCCCGCGAGACGCAGAACAGCTCAAACTATCACAGAATAAAGGGTAACTCTCGCAGCCTCGGCTCCCGCGACTCCACAGAGCGTCTGGACTACATTTCCCAGAATTCCCCGGATCCGCCTGCCTGACCGGAAGTGTCCGCAACTCCACCGACCGTTTGGACACTTCCCAGAATGCCCAAGGAGTAAACGTTCACAGTTTTACCCTCCAGGGGGAAGTGTTGCAACTATACAGAGCTTCTTGACCACACTTCTTCCAAGTCCCCAGAGAAGGGAATCTCTCATCCCGAACGCCTGTGTGGTAATATGGACTCCTGCACTGAGTGTCGTCCTTACGCTTCTCTTGAGTCTTCGAGCAAAAATATTACATAAACAATGATTTCCTGATCGAAATATCCCCAATTATTGCAGAAGTATTACTGGAGAGTGAACAAATGTGGAGATAAATCTTCAAGGAACTAACAAGAAATTACTGCTTGAGGATCCTAGAGAACTGAAAGGAGGAAAATATTTAGTATAACCTGATGATGTGAGATTAAAACTGATAGTATGCCAATGTAATTTTAATTTACATTTCCTGTATTGTAAATCAAATAGAACATCTTTTCATATTTCCAAAGGCCATTATTATTATTTGGTAAATTGTTCAAACCTTTTGCCTACTGTACTAATGGCTTTTTGGCCTTTTCCCTCACTATTTAAATATTGTTTATACATTTGTAAAATAATTATTTTTCTTGCAAATCTTTTCTATTTATTTATTTATTCATTTATTTATTTATTTATTTATTTTTTGAGGTGGAGTCTGACTCTGTCGCCCAGGCTGGAATGCAGTGGTGCAGATGTTGGCTCACTGCAAGCTCCGCCTCCCGGATTCACGCCATTCTCCTGCCTCTGCCTCCCGAGTAGCTGGGACTACAGGCGCCCACCACCATACTAGGCTAATTTTTTGTATTTTTAGTACAGACGGTGTTTCATGGTGTTAGCCAGGATGGTCTCGATCTCCTGATCTCGTGATCCGCCCGCCTCAGCCTCCCAAAGTGCTGGGATTACAGGCGTGAGCCACCGTGCCCGGCCCCTCTATTTTTTCTTTTGGTTTTATGGCTTTTTTGCCACAAAAAAATAGTTTAATGTAATCTATAATTTTTAAAATATTTTTATTGAGATGTAATTCATAAAACAAACCATTTAAAAATGGACAGTTCAATGGCTGTAACATTTGGTACATTCACAACACTGTGAAAACAACACCTCTTAAGGTTTAAAATATCTTCATCTCCCCAAAGAAAACCCCATACCGAGTAAACAGGTCATTGCCATTGCCCCTAAGCCTCAACTGGCTACCACCAATCTTTCCATCTTACTGAATTACCTATTTTGGATATTTCATATAAATGGAATCACACAATATGTAACCTTTTGTGTCTGACTTTGCTTTAGTAGCATATTTTAAAGGTTCATCTACATCATAGCATGTATCGGTAATTTATTTTTAAAGATAAATAATACTGTTATGTTTTATACCACGTTTTGTTTATTGTTCATTGATGTACATTTGGGTTGTGTATAATGATACTATGAACATTGATGTACAAATATTTATTACGCTACCTGCCTTCACTTCTTTTGTATATATTCCTAGATGTGGAATTAGTGAAGTGATATGATAATTCTATGTTAAACTTTTTGAGCAACCACAAAACCGTTTGCCACTGCAATTGCCACACCATATGTTCCAACCATCAATATGTGAGAATTTCTTCACATTCTCGCCCATATTTATTTTCCATTTTCAAATATAGACATCATAGTACTTGTGAAGTGATAACACAGTGTTATTTTGATTTGCATTCTCTAGTGATTAATGATGTTGAGCATCTTTTTTTTTTTTTAAGATGGAGTCTCGGTCTGTCACCCAAGCTGGAGTGCAATGGCACAAGCTCCGCTCACTGCAAGCTCTGCCTCTGGGTTCCCGCTGTTCTCCTGCCTCAGCCTCCCAAGTAACTGGGACTATAGGAGCCCACCACCACACCCAGCTAATTTTTTGTATTTTTAGTAGAGACGGGGCTTCACCGTGTTAGCCAGGATGGTCTCCATCTCCTGACCTCGTGATCCACCCGCCTCGGCCTCCCAAAGTGCTAGGATTACAGGCGTGAGCCACCGCGCCTGGCCAATGTTGAGCGTCTTTTCATATGCTTGTTGGTTGTTTGTATATCTGAATGTTTATTCACGTGTTTTCTGCATTTTTTAATTGGCTGGTTTATATTTTTGTTGTTGAGCATAAAAGTTTTCTTTAATATATCCTGAATACTAAACATCATACTGTATGGTCTTTTCACTTAACAATGTTCTTTTATGGGTACAGTTTTTAATTTTACTGAAGTCAAATTTATGTTTTTCTTTTATTGCTTGTGCTTATAGTTCTATCTAAAATTTTATTGCCAAAAAAATCAAGATTTACTCTGTTGGGAACAGGCCCCTAAAATCTGGCCATAAACTGGCCCCAAAACGGGCCATAAACAAAATTTCTGCAGCACTGTGACATGTTCATGATGGCCATGATGCCCACGCTGGAAGGTTGTGGGTTTACTGGAATGAGGGCAAGGAATACCTGGCCCACCCAGGGCAGAAAACCACTTAAAGGTGGTCTTAAACCACAAACAATAGCATAAGATATCTGTGCCTTAAGCACATGCTCCTGCTGCAGATAACTAGCCAGAGCCCATTCCTTTATTTCGGCCCATCCCTTTGTTTCCCGTAAAGAATACTTTTAGTTAATCTATAATCTATAGAAATAATGTTTATCACTGGTTTGCTGTCAATAAATACGTGGGTAAATCTCTGTTTGAGGCTCTCAGCTCTGAAGGCTGTGAGACCCCTGATTTCCCACTCCATACCTCCATATTTCTGTGTGTGTGTCTTTAATTCCTTCAGCACCGCTGGGTTAGTGTCTCCCCAACCAAGCTGGTCTCAGCAACTCTTATGGGTTCTTCTAAGAGTTTTAAACCTTTTGCTCTTTTGTTCTCCACATCCTCACCAGCATTTTATATTGCCTGTCTTTTGTGTAAAAGCCATTTTAACTGGGGTGAGATGATATCTCATGGTAGTTTTGATTTGCATTTCTCTGATGATCAATAATGCTGACCATCTTTTCATATGCCTGCTTGCCATTTGTGTGTTTTCTTTTGAGCAATGTTTATTCAGATCTTTTGCCCATTTTTAATGAGCTCATTAGATTTTTTTCTGTAGAGTTGAGCTCTTTATATATGCTGGTTATTAATCCCTTGTCAGATGGGTAGTTTGCATTTTCTCCCATTTGTGCATTACCTCTTCACTTTGTTGATTGTATCCTTTGTTTTCCAGAAACTTTTTAACTTGATGTCATGCTATCAGTTCATTTTTGCTTTGGTTGCCTATGCTTGCACTGTACAGATCAAGAAATGTTTGCTCAGATCAATATTCTGCAGATTTTCCCCAGTTTCTTTTCTTTTCTTTCTTTTTTTTTTTGAGTTGGTGTCTTGCTCTGTCGCCCAGGCTGGAGTGTAATGGCGTGAAATTGGCTAACTGCAAGCTCCGCCTCCTGGGTTCACACCATTCTCCTGCCTCAGACACCATTCTCCTGCCTCCTCCCAAGTAGCTGGGACTACAGGTGCCCGCCACCACACCCGGCTAATTTTTTGTATTTTTAGTAGAGATGGGGTTTCACCAAGTTAGCCAGGATGGTCTTGACCTCCTGACCCCGTGATCCACCTGTCTGAGCTTCACAAAGTGCTAGGATTACAGGCGTGAGCCACTGCGCCCAGCCCAAAGTTTTCTTTTATTAGTTTCATAGATTGAGATCTTAGATTTAAGTTTTTAATCCATTCCGATTTGCTTTTTATGTGGTAAGAGATAGAGGTCTAGTTTCATTCTTCTGCATATGGATATCCAGTTTTTCCAGCATCATTTCTTGAAGAGATTGTCTTTTCCTCATATGTGTTCTTGGCACATTTGTCAAAAATTAGTTATCCATAGGTGTGTGGATTTGTTTCTGTGTTCTCTGTTCTGTTCCATTGGTCTCTGTGTCTGTTTTTATGCCAGTACTAAGCTGTTTCGGTTATTATAGCTCTGTAGTATAATTTGAAGTTGGTTTTGTTCTTTTTGGTCAGGATGGCCTTGATTATTCTGGGATTTTTTTGTGGTTCCATATCAATTTGAGGCTTTTTAATTTCTATGAAGAATGTCATTGGTATTTTAATAGAGATTGCACTGAATCTGTAGATTGCTTGGGTAGTATAGACATTTTAACATTACTGATTCTTCAAATCCATAAACATGGGACAGTTTTCCATTTTTTGGTGTCCCCTTCAATTTTTTAAATCTGTGTTTTATAGTTTTTATTATAGATAACTTTAACTTTTTTGGTTGATTCCTAGGTATTTGATTTTATGTGTGGCTATTAAAAATAGTATTACTTTTGATTACTATTGATATAGAAAATGCAGTATATCCATACATTAAAATAGTATCAAAAACACTATGAGCAAAAAGAGAAAGCTGAAGAGTCATGCCAGATTAATGGTGACAGGAGAAACGTGACAGTTAAAAACGATTCATAAAAGTGGGCTAAACTGGAGGAAAATCAATTACAAGGAAATTAAATTAAAAACAATAAATTTAAACATGGAGTTTAGGTTAAATAACATATGTTATCAATATAACCCATTTTCTGATTTTGATCATGAAACTGATTATGAAAGAGAATGTTCTTGTTCTTAGAAAATATACTTAAATTTTAAGGGCTAAGGAAATGCCATCTCTATGGCTTAATTTCCAATGCTTTGGGGAAAAATAAAGATATAGATATGATAAAAGTGTGGAGGGGAAAAAAAGCCCACAACATCTGATAGCTAGCAGTGGCTAGTCCTTGGTGTTTTCATCTCATCATAATTTCTAGAACATTAACAATTATCAAACAGAACCATTCAGTGACAATGGTAGAAAAAGAAATGCAGCCCTTGTGGGAAGCTAGGTCAGGAAAAGAAAAAAAAAGCAGGGAAATACAGTGACTTCTGTTCTTGAGAAAACACAGAAATACTCTCCCATCTCTACTCC